CACTGCACTCCAGTCTGGGCGACAGAGTGAGACTCCAACTCAAAAAAAAAAAACAAGAGACAGTCAGTCGCATTTCTATATACCAGCAACAGGCAGACAAAGAATCAAAATTTTTTAAAAATCCCATTCACAATAGCCACAAAAATAAATAAATAGAAAGAAATACCTTGACCTCCTCCTAACCAGAGAAGTGAAAAAGACCTTTATAATGAGAACTACAAAATACTGCTTAAATCATGGATGGGCAGGGTTCAGTGGCTCAGTCTGTAATTCCAGCACTTTGGGAGGCAGAGGTGAGAGAACTGCCTGAGCCTGCTGGTTCGAGAATCAGCTGAGCAACTTGGTGAGACCTCATCTCTACAATAAATCCCAAAAACTAGCCAGACGTGGTGGCATGTATCTGTAGTTCCAGCTGCTTGGAGGGTTGAGGCGGAAAGATCACTGGAGCCCAGCAGGTTGAGGCTGCCGTGGCCACGAGTGTGCCGCTGCACTCCAGCCTGGGAGACAGAGTGAGACTCTGACTCAAAGGAAAAAAAAAAAAGAAAGAAGGAAAGAAAAGAAATCATGGATGACACAGACAAAAGGAAAAACATTCCATGCTCATGAATTAGAAGCATCAATATTGTCAAGATATCCATTCTACCCAAGGCAATCTACAGATTTGATGCAATACCCATCAAATTACCAACATCATTCTTCTCAGACCTGAAAATGACAATACAGAAATCCATATGGAAACTAAAAAGAGCACAAATAGCCAAAACAATCCTCAGCAAAAGGACAAAGCAGGAGGTATCACACTCACAGACTTGAAACTTTATTCCAAAGCTTCAGTAACCAAAACTGCATGGTATTGGTACAGGAATAGGCACATAGACCAATGGAACAGGACAGAGATTTCAGAAGTAAGGTCTCTCAACCAAGTCATCTTCTACAAAGCCATCAATAACAATCATTGGGGAAAGGAGACCATATTTAGCAAATGGTGCTGGGAAAACTGGCTGACCACATGCAGAAGAATGAAACTGGACTCCTACCTATTACCATGTACAAAAATCAACCCTAAATGGATAACGAACCTACAAATAAAAATTCAAACTATAAGAATCCTAGAAAAAATCATAGGAAACACTCTTCTGAACATCAAAGTAGACAATGAATTCATTTCTGAGTCCCCAAAAGCAAATGCTACAAAAGCTGAGACAGACAAGTGAGACCCCATCAAACTCAACAGCTTTTGCACACCAAGAGAAACCATCAAGAAAATAAAGACACAACCCACAGGATGGGAGAAAATCCAATTATGCAACTGACAAAGGCCTAACATCCAGGATCTAAAAGGAACTCAAACAAAGTGAAAGAAAAAAAACTAACAACCCTGTTTAAAAAGTGGGCAAAGGACATGAACAGACAATTCTCAAAAGAAGACATATAAGCAGCCAACAGACACATGAAAAACTGCTCTGTCTCACTAATCATCAGAGAAATGCCAGTCAAAGCTACGATGACACACCACTTTACTCTGGGGTAAGGATGACTATCACAACAAGTCAAAAAACAACAGGTGCTGGTGCAGGTGCGGAGAAAAGGGAATGCTTCCATACTGTTGGTGGGAGTGCAAGCTAGTTCAACACCTACAGAAAGCAGTGTATGGCGATTCCTGAAAGAATTAGTAATTAACCTTCCATATAATCCAGCAATCCCTCTCCTGGGAATATACTCAGGGGAAGATAAATCCCTCTACCAGAAAGATACCTGCATATACATGCTTATTGCCACACTATTCACAACAGCAAACACATGGAATCAACCCTGCTGTCCATCGAAAGTAGACTGGATAGAGAAAATGTATTACATATACGTGGAGTATCATGCAGTCATAAAGAAGAACAAAATCATAGCCTTTGCAGCAACAGTGATGTGCAGGGTAGCAAACTAGTCTGTGTCATAGTGTAATGGTGAATACATACATTACATATTTGTTAAAACCTATAGACCATATGACATAAGGAGTAAAACCTAAAATAAACTATGAAATTCAGTTCATAATAATGCAACAATATTGGCTCGTCAGTGGTAACAAATGTATCACAATGAAAGAGCATGTTAGTAACAGGGAAATTTGGGGAAAGCTGTATACAGGAACAGTGTAGCTTCTACTCCATTTTTCTGTAAACCTAAAACTGCTCTAAACAATGAAGTCAATTTTTTAATATATTTTTCTAACCATCCACTTAATCTCATCTTTCTCACAGAAACTGAAGCAGGCTGATGGGCTGAGTGGAGAGTCTTCCAGTGCCTTAATATGTATAATCTACTGAGATTCTCAATTGGTAACAAAACAAACCACAGTCAGATTAGCTAAACAAATGTAAGAGCACATAACTCAACAGCAATGAAAACAGCCAACTAACCTGAAAATGAAGTATGAAAGGGCCTTAAAGAAATTCCTTCCAATGTATTTTTGGCAAATAGAAAATATCCTTAAACGACCATTGAAAAGAGTAAAGAAAAGCAAAAGAGCTCGGGTGGTAAAATTGTCGCCTAGCTCAATAAATAGCCTAGAATTCACCTATCTCCTCTAGTTTACGAAACAACTTCCCTGAAGAGGAGAAAGTGAGAGAAATAATGAAACTTGGTCAACTGTAAAATGGAGTGATCCTGTGCTGGGCACAGAGTAGAGATTTAATAAATAGGTATGACCTAACTTCACTTAAGATGTATAGCCTGAATATAAAGTATAGTGTGCAGTCGGGCTTGGTGGCTCAGCCTGTAATCCCAGTACTTTGGGAGACCAAGATGAGTTTGAGACCAGACCAGGCAATTTGGTGAGACCTTGTCTCTACAATAAATCAAAAATTAGCTGGGCATGGTAGCACACACCTGTTGTTCCCACTATTCGGAAGGCTGGAGGCAGAAGGATCACTGGAACATAGCAAGTCAACACTGGGGTAGCCATGAATGTGCCATTGCCACTGCACTCCAGCCTGGGCAACGGAGTGAGACTCCAGCTCAAAAAAAAAAAAAAAAATACACACACACACACACACACACACACACAGTGGGCAGCCACCTACTGAATAGCTAAACAAATTTAATTTCCCAAAGACAAAGAACACTATTCCTCTAACTCCCACAGAATCTATCTAAAAACTAGCCACATTACTAACTTTATGTCAAGAGTACAACACTGATAGGTGCTACAGATCTTTTAAAAAAAACAACCTTCAAGTATCATCTGAAGAAAGTTCGTTAATGGTTGCATAAATTCACAGAAAGTAATATCTATAGTATCTACCACATAAACCACAAAATGTTTCTACTTTTAAAAAAAATCAAAGCAGCATTACCCAGGAAAGCTACCTGTATCAGAATTTCTGATGTCTAATCATATTATTTTCTTAAAAATTAATTCATTAAGAAGGTCTCTATAATAATGTATTTTGGCCGGGCTCGGTGGCTCAGCCTGTAATCCCAGCACTTTGGGAGGCCAAGGTGAGTGGATTGCCTGAGCCCACGGGTTGGAGACCCGCCTGGGCAACTTGACAAGACCTCATCTCTACAATAAAATCAAAAATTAGCCGGGCGTGGTAGCATGCGCCTGTAGTTCCAGTTACTTGGAAGGCTGAGGCGGAAGGATCACCGGAGCCCAGCAGGTCAAGGCTGCGTGGTGGCCGGGAACAGCCACTGCACTCCAGTCTGGGTGACAGAGAGAGACTCCAACTCAAAAATAAATACATAAATAATGTATTTTATAAGGATGTGGTATGTGTTCCTGTCTCTACTGAAACAAGAACTCACTTGAGAGAAGAGAGTATTAACAAGCTCTGAAGAGTGGGTAATTACCATATTGAAAACGAACGTTTCTGGTAATGGAACCTGTAGTGAGAATGTCCATCCCACAATCCTGAGTCACAGATTAGGCTGCCTCTCTATTCCTATGAAGCCATCTTTCAGTAAAAGGAGCAGCAGGGCACAACACAACATACGAATAATGACTTGGCCAAGTTCCTAAGAAACAATCACAGCGAAACTAGGTCTGAGAAAAACTCTACAGTATATGGCATACATCATACTCATGTTCTCCTTCCTTAATCACCCCTACTCTTTGTTAATGGACGAAAAAGTGAAATTGGGAGCCTTTAGCTTTATCTTTTTCTTTAATATTCAAAGAGATTTATTCTGAACCAAATATGATTAACCAAAGTCTGAGGCACAATCCCAGAGGGTTCTGAGAACACGTGCCTCTAGACAGTTCATTCTATCTAAAGGTTTCTAGTTTTTATGGATTTTAGTAATACTGAATAATATTATAAAGGCATTATCTTGGTTTTAAATATTATGAAAGTGAGTCATTTAATGCATCATGATTCTTTGGGGATGACACTTGCAAAAACTATCACCTGTCACATCCCCACCCCAGCACATACACACAATGACACCAGAAGGCAACACTATGCTTTACCTTCTGCTGAAAAGTCTGCTACCTCCAACGCTTGGGATCCATACACGAAGCCCTCCTGGAATCTATGAACACAGCAGAGGCAAAAGGCAGAGAAGTTTATGTAAAGTTACACTGCCCAAAACATAAAATGCCAAATGCCTATCACAAGACTACATATCTGCCAAGGAAATCAGACTTTAGATTTGACAAGGAGCAGACCAACAATATAATGACAACATTCAGAGTTATTTATATACTATGCAGCTAATTGTATGAAAAGACCAAAAGCTGAGCCCTACGTAATTTTTTTCTTTTTTCTCTTGTTCTTTTTTGGGGAGTCAGGGTCTCACTCTGTCACCCAGGCTGGAGTGCGGTGGCATGGTCACAGCTCACCACAGCCTCAACCTCCTGGGTTCAGGTGATCCCGCTACCTCAGTTGATTTATTGTAGAGACAAGGTCTCGTTATGCTGTCCAGGCTGGTCTCAAACTCCTGAGTTTAAGCAATTCTCTCACCTTGGCCTCCCAAAGTGCAGGATTACAAGCATGAGCCACCACACCCAGACACTAATTTATACTCTTACCAAAATAAGTGAATTATATTTCTGGAAAAACTAATAGAGCAATAAAGTATGAATTCATATACAAGAAAAGTATCAATTCAATTTTTTACATCATGTGAGAGAGCCAACACATATACAGTAGTCCTCCTTAGACATGGGAATATAAGAACCCCATCAGCTGTATGAAATCTGGGCGAGTACTGCACATCCTACACACAGTTTCTTTCTGAAAACCAAGACAGCTAATAAGTGACTGATGGGCAGGTAGCATCTAAAGTCTTGATAGGCTAGACAAATGGATAAGACACGTCCCCAGCCAGATGGAGGACAGCGCTGTCAGCACGAGAGTTCACCACACTACTCCAACCAGCATACAATTGCTTATTTCTGGAACCTTCCATTTAATATTTTCAAACCACAGGTAGGTATCTAAAATAGCAGAAAATGAAACTGCAGATAAGGATGACAACTACATAAGAAATATAAAAGAAATTAAGTAGGAAAATAAACCACAAAATGAACCCTGCAGCTCAAGTCATTTTTCCTCTTAGAACCAGAAATTGTTGGGAATATAGGAAAAAACAGTCAAAAGGAGACTTAGAAGAAGACAAAGATAGAGGAAAAAGTAGCACTGTGAAGTTATTATTCCAATAGCACGACTTAATTTAACTCTGCTAGTAATGTTGAAATTAGCAAGGTACCTATCACATAAGTAGGTAGTATGGAGAAAAATCTACCATTCTCCAATATTCTTCTGTTTTGTGTTGTTTGAAGAGATGAGATCTCACTATGTTGCCCAGGCTGGTCTCAAACTCCGGGCCCCAAGCGATCCTCCTGCCACAGCCTCCCAAAGTGATAAGATTATAGAAGTGAGCCACCAAGCCCAGTCCGTTTTTCCAATGTTATAAAATAAAAATAAGCATAAAACATGAAAGACTTTTCAGAAAATATTCATGCAAAATACTGAAAATTTAATCAGGCAAAATATTTAGATCTCAGATTTTATTTCATTACAGTATTTTTCTGTTATAGGGATAAAATACTACAAACCATATAGCTGCTATATAAGAAAAAGGAATCAGATAAATTGTATTAGCTATTAAATTTAAGAGGGGAGAATGTTATTTTATGTAATATTTAGAAATCTTTAAAAGTATCGGAGGTGGAAGCAAAAGGATTACCTGAGTCCAGGGGTTTGAGACCAGCCTAGGCAACTTGGTGAGACCTTGTCTCTACAATAAATAAAAACTAGCCAGGTGTGGTAGTGCATGTCTGTGGTTCCAGCAACTTGGAAGGCTGAGGTGGAAGGATCACCTGAGCCTAGCAGGTAGAAGCTAGCAGGTAGAAGTGACCGTGAGCATGCCACTGCACTCCAGCCTCAGTGACAAAGTGAGACTCAGACTCAAAATAAAAATAAAAAATAAAAGTATCATCAAGGGGCCAGGCTCCGTGGCTCAGCCTGTAATCCCAGCACTCTGGGAGGCCAAGGTGAGTAGATTGCCTGAGCCTCCAAGTTTGAGACCATCCAGGGCAACATGGCGAGACCAAGTTGGTAGCCTACATCTGTAATTCCAGCTACTTGGAAGGCTGAGGCAGAAGGATCACCAGAGCCCATTGGGTTGATGCTGGGATGGCCATGAGTATGCATGTCACTGCACTACAGCCTGGGCAACAAGAGTAAGATTCCAACTCAAAAAAAAAGTATTGTCAAATTAGGAAAGAAGGAACAAAGCATTGTCTCAAAATATGATGCCGTGTCGAGGAAGAAACACAGTATTATAAAATACTGGCCTTGAAGTCAGGTGACCTGAGTTCAAGTTCAAGTCAGATCACTTAATTATCTTGTGACACCAAGCACTTCTCAGTATAACCAGGGTTGTTCAATGAGGAGACCTTTGTCATCTCTCAAATTTATACCAAATATCAAATGAAATAAAGTTTTTAAAAATGCTGTCAATCACAGAATGGTGTATTATGCAAAAATCTAAGTCAGTGCATTTGATTTAAACTAGCGACTCAATGAAAGTTGTTAACTAAGAACCAGAGAGAATATCCTTTACCCAGCCAAGGAATTTGGGGAACTGTATGAGGAAGCCCAAAGAAGCAAAGCACAAAAGAGTAGCTGTCAGAGCCAAATGACAGCCAGAGAGGGCAGTCCCCAAAAGATGACTATGTCACATTACTAATTTAGCAACGTACCCAGCACTCCCCGCTGGATGTACCTTCTCTTAATTCCCAAGAGGACCTTTTAGACTGCATCCCCCTCTAAGGCAGTGCTTGTGACATTCTAAGCTAAGTGCTTTTGACTTACTGCTTTTGAAACACAGAAACTACATACATATTGCATAGGTATATTTCTAAAACCCAAGAAGATAACATCCCACCCAATAATAGCAGCAAAGGTTTATATAGGATGAATGATGTGCCAAGCACAGTTCTAGGAGTTCTACCAGTACTGACTCATTTGTCTTCACAGCTCTGAGAGAGGTACTATTATACTTTTCAGATGAAGATATAAGACACAGGAAATTAAGAAACTTGCCTAAGAGCATACAGCTGCAAGTGACAATTCAAGCCCTGTCCACTCCTAGTCATGTTCTTAGTCACCACATGTCCAGCTTATGAAATTACAACCACACAAACTAGGAACCTATCTACGTGTAAGAAGCCAAACCATTATAAATGTTCTCAAGTATTCAACCATACTAAATATCCTTCAGCATTTGCAACATTTTCTTGGAAAATTAAATTTTAAATGATGTTTTATATAAAATATTTAACAAAATAAGAAATGCTTATGATAAAACTAAAAGGAAAAAGTTGACATTTTTAAAAACAAAAGAAAGCCTAAAAAAACTAAAGAACATATATCCAAACATTTAAATAATATTGGTGTTAGAGTAGCAAGATTGAATGATTTTGTTTTTAAAAACCTGCTACCATTTATTGCATAACTTACCCAAAAATTTTAGAAACTACAGCCTGGGCAACATAGTGAGAGCTTGCTTCTATGAAATATTTTTTAAAAATAGTAGGAATGGTGGCATGTGCCTACTGTAGTCCCAGCTACTCGAGAAGCTGAGTCAGAAGGATCACCTGATCCAGCAGGTGGAGGCTATGGTAGCCATGATGGTGCCACTGTACTCCAGCCTGGACAACAGAGTGAGACTCCAACTCAAAAAGTGTGTGTCTACACACACACACACACACACACACACACACACAAATAAGACCTAGGTTTTAAACACATGTAAACCACAAAACATTCTTTTCATTTGATTGTGTAAGTGCGGCAGATGAAATCAGCAAACAGCTTTACCCAGTGCAGATTTCTACCTAAATAAATGGTTCAAGAGAAGGATAGGAAAAGAGGGACAGGGATAGTGATGGTCAGTAGGCTAATGGTTAAGGAGCAAATCTAAAGATGTTCATACTTTTTGTAATATATAAACTTGGTCTAACTAAAAAAAGAAGACTATAGTGTTTTAGCTATAATAATGGTATTATGGTTATGCAAGAGAATGTTTACTTTTTAGGAGCTACATGCTGAGATATTAAAGGCTATGGTACCATAACGATAGCAACTTATTTTTCAGTGGTTCAGAAAGATGCATACGTGTATACACACATATTTACCGAGAAAGTAAATATAGCAACCTGCTGCTTCATCTGGATAGGGGATGGCAAACAGGACAGCACAGGAAAAATCCAGCTACCACTTTTTGTAAATAAATTTGGCCAGGTGCAATGGTTTGTACTTGTATGCCCAGCACTTTGAGAGGCCAAGGTGGGAAGATGGCTTGAACCCAGGAAACTAATACTTTGAGAGGATGAGGCAGGAGGATTGCTTGAGATCAGTCTGGGCAACATAGTAAGAATCCAACTCTACAAAAATTAAAAAATTGTTGTGTGTGGTGGTTCACCCCTGTAGTTCTAGCTACTTGGGAGACTGAGGTCAAAGGACTGCTTGAGTCCAGGAGGTCAAGGTGGCAGTGAGCCAAAATCACGCCACTGCACTCCAGACAGGGCAGCTGAAAGTCTGTCTCAAAATAAGTCAATGTTGAAAAAAAGTAAAAGCTTTATTGTAACACTGCCATTCCCATTCATTCACCTCTTGTCTATGGCTGCTTTCTCACTACAATTACAGAAGTTGTGACAGAGACCACATGCCTCCAACACCTAAAATATTTACTGGCCACTTACAGAAATACAGAAAATAACTGACCCTTTACAGAAAAAACACTTATCTAGATCAGCTGGTATAGACAATAGATACACAAATGATCATAGGACCAGTCTTTAAATTTGTTTGCATATCTGAAATATATTATAATCATGTTCGAAAAGGTTTACAATTGTATACATGAAGCTTTTTGATTTCTCAAAAAAATACAAATAAATGCAGAAACAGATCCTCAAAAAAGACAGCAGGGGCACAATCATAACACCGAGACAATAACAGAGATGTGGTAAAGTTTTTACTGTGAAAGGAACAACTTTTTTTTTTTAGTTGGAGTCTC